CTGCGTCCTTCTGATTCACCATTCGACCCCAGTACTTTGGAGGTGAGTGATTGCTCAATACCATGATATGTAATGTAATGTAAAATAGCATTAAAGAATGAAATAGCTAAATTTAAATGCATTTAATTCTTTGGTAAAAATCACCTTTTATATCAGAGCAGATTTATAAATATTCTAACTTGAGAAACAAAATGGGGCACTGAGTGCTCACTGCCAGTAAATCAGCTCCTTAGGGATAAAGAGTGAATTCCCTGCTACAGTGTGAGCTATTTTCTTCTTACGTTCAGTGGCCTACTTCCTGGAGCAAGAGCAATCAAAAATATAATAGTTTAAATATTTAACAACATAAACGGTAGAGGATTCATGGGTTAGTTGTTTAAAACCAAATAAAAAAATATCTATAATCAAAATGTGTGAGTAGCAATTATTTTTAAGGAAATTTGTGCAGCTTTTGAAACAAATAAAAAAACTTAATCTTAAAATAGAATATGTTGAAGACAATTCTATATTGTCTCTTATAATTCTTTAAAGCAGGTATGCATTGAAACTCAAAGTATTTCAAGAAAATACTTTCCATAAAGGTATTTTTTTACATTAGGAAACAAAAAAAAAAAAAAAAAAAAAAGCAACAACAAAAAGGAGCCATCAAAACCATTTAACCACCAAGACTCAAGCCATTGGTAATGCTTGGACATATAGAGGAGGTGAGGTGAGGCTTTTGAAACATAGCAACACTGTGTTGGATCTACTTAATTCAATGGTGGACATAAGCTGCACATCAAATTTTTTCATTGGCAGAAATCTACAATATTAGGTTCACTCAAATCAGATTGATTACTTCAACACACCTTAATCAATTACTTACAAATCTATCCGATCTATTAAAACTTAGGGGTGGGGTTAAGGTAACCTCAGGGTACAGACTGTCTTGCAGTCTGTATGTAGGTTGTAAAATGTACTTTTTTATTAGTTCCCATTTTGTAAGAGTTAAACTAAGAAATGTACAGTGACCCTAATTTATAGTTGTCTTTAGATATTTGTTTATGTGGTTTGCACCTTAGGGCCACTGTAGGAATGTGTTATGCATCATAGAACGCTAACACAGCCCTTTGCATACTTTTCCAGAAAGTAGAAATGATGTTTTTCTGATATTTTTCTTGTAGTATAATGGCTGAGTTTGCTTAATGCTTTCGCTCCGCCTCCTTTATGAGAAGCTGTGTCACGTGTTTTAATGAAGTGAATGTCTCATTTAGTGTTATAATATGTAAGCTATGTACACAGTGTGATCACAGATAGCAGGAAAGGGGACTGGACTGGCTGGCTTTTAGAAGGTAGAGCCTCATTTTATGATTTGTCTGAGCTCAGGTTCATCATTCATGCTTCTCCATACACATTCATAACGCTAAAAGCCAAACCAAAGTCACCCTGGTACTTATTTGTGATCAAACTAACCATTTCGGGGGAAAAACAAGGATTTACAAAAATATAATATAATATTAATAATTGCAATTATCATTATAAAAAGTTATTATGATAATTTTTTTCTTATTCCTCAGTTAGAGGAAAAAGGTAAAATAATGGGGTTTATAAAGCTGTTTTAATCTTTTCTGAAATGGTTATATATCTTTCCGCTTGATGATTAAAAGCTAAAAAATGAATGCAACACTGGAAAACAAAAAAAAATTTAACATCCATTGATATCATTATAATGGTGGGGGGGTTGTGCACACAGGTTTTAAAACCGTCTTTAGGTCGCTTCTGCTCATCTAGTCAGCTGATTAATGGCATGTATTTTTCGTAGAGGCAGCTCCTAAAAAGGGGAATGTCTTTAGCGGTGGGGGAGAAGTATATTCTCTTACGTGAAGCCAGTTCAATACAATAAATAAAGGACCCCTTTCTAATCTGTTAACTGGAAATAGACAGGATTTTATTAGAAAAAAGTGTGTGCATTTTTAACCTGGACTCGTTCAAGATGACACCGCACTGTCAATCATTGTTGAGGGGACTTGAGACGACCTTGATTTTAAAATTTTAAAATAAATTTCTCTCTGACAGATAACTTTGGACCAATAAGCAACAGTCCAGGTAAAGCCTGACAATGTTAAAGGTGGCTCTGTCATACTTTTTTCACATTCCATGAATATGCCTGAATAAAAACAGTCTGTCAACAGCCGGATACTTTTGTCATAATTATTTGTAACTTGATCCTTCATCCATCAGGAACTGTTTTCTGTTTTTGCTGTCAGGTCAGCATATTACCCTGTTCAAATGCAGCCAATAAAATAATTTCTCTGTTCGTTTGTTTATTGATCTTATGTAATACTCAAATTCTCTGAGGATATTAATTCGCATTTTCATTAGCTAAAAGAAACCTGATAAATGCTGGAATCTTATTACATACCTTGTGTCATGAATTTACAAAATGCACTCAGTCAAAAGTTTCAGAACACCTCAATTTTTCCAGATATTCATTGCAATTTTAGTTGTTAAAGTCCAATGAATAGCCTGCAAGGGTACAAAAGCAGAGGTGTCAAGGAACAGGAACGAAGTACAAATACTTTGTTACTGTACTAAGTAAACCTTTTAGGTATCTATACTTTACTCCATTACTTATTTTTCTTTCTATTTCTGACTTCTACTCTTGACATTTTCACACAAGTATCTGTACTTTCTATTCCTTACATGTTTAAAACAAACGTTAGTCATTACTCTTGGCTTTGATTTAATGTTTGTAAATATTTATTTAACGTCATATCCTGCAGATCATTGGACACATCTAGTGAAAACTAGTGTAATTGGATGAGTTATATAACGCAAACACTCATTGGTTAGCTAAAGGAAATCATCAAAAGCATGCAGGTGTTCTTCAACACTGAAAACGCGAATTCTCTATGCCATGCTACAATGTCGATTCAGAAATGTCGCGACAGAAGCAGCGAGTTTACATGCAAAGTCAATGGTTGACGCGCGTCAAGGCGCAGCATAAGGTCCCGCGGCGCGTTTTGAGCAGCAGGCGCAGAGCGTCTGAGCAGCTGAAGCAGCGCGTCGGGCGCGTTTAATCATCTGACGCAGGGAGAGAGACACAGCGCTGATGATCACTCCTCTTAAACAGATTATTGACGCCTAAATTAACTTAAAATGCAGAAATCTGCCGGCAGAATATGTTGGCTTTTATTATCCTGCTGCCTGCAGTTTGGATAATTTAGATGAAAAACACCAACCAGCTGCCGCGGTTCGAGGAGGCGACCCGGCCAGAGGATGCTGATGAAGGGATTCCTACTGTCGGCGCACCGCTGGTATGTGGGGGTCTGAGCGGCTCCGACAGGAAAAATATTGAAGGCAGGATGATAATCTGAATGAACTGACTGCACTGATTACGTTTTCAGGTGTATTTTCTCACTTAAACACATATTAAAACTACTTTATTCCCACTGATCACACCAAATATAGCTGCAAGGCAGAGAAAGGATAGTGAAGCTCCGCCCAACGCGTGTCAGACACACTTTTGCACCGCGCAGCCAGAGCAGCAAAGCTGCTTCAGCCGCGCGTCAGAACTAACTGGTACAAGCAGCAAAACTGAAGCAGCAGACGCGATTTTGCTGCGTCCGATGTGAACGTAGCATAACTGCACAAAGATCGCCACTGTGCTAGCAACGAGCATGCTTTTAACTGGGGGCGTGTAGCAGTTCTCGCCGTAAAGCAAGACTGACTCTCGCGAGACTTCTGAGCCTGTGGGTGCGGGTCGGTGCTCCTGCAATTGCAAGTGCGGTATTTCCCCCACAGACCACCAGGGCGGCCGAGAATACCTTTGTTCAACCTGAAATGACTCATTTAATCATCCAAAACGTTATGGAACACATTAATTAACAGAAAAATGTTGCATAGTGTGCCTTTAAGTAGTTTTTGGAGCACATACTTTTTCACTTCTACTTGAGTAAAGAGGTCAAGTTGATACTTCAACTTTTACCAGAATGTTTTTAAACTGCAGTATCTATACTTCTACTTGAGTAACAAATGTGTGTACTTTTGACACAAAGTAAGTGTTGTACTGGGTTTTAAAAAGGTATCAAAGTCATTAAAACTAAATAATAATGTACATTCACCCAACACTTCTAGTTCTGCTTTAGACTTCAAAAGCAGAATGATCTTAAACATGTATTTTGCTGATTAACTCCCTGTTTAGTTTAAATCAAGAAACACAGGTAGTGTTCTAGCAAATAATTCACTATTTAGACATGAATTTCAGCACATAGTCCAATATGGTTTCCTTTTTTCCGTTTTTCTTTTCATTTTAAAGATTCTATATAGATATTAATATAAGATAATACAATCTGGAAATTAGGTTTTTGTTGTAAATATTTTGGAGGTGTAAATTTGATATTTACCATAAATAAAAATTAATAACATATAAAAGTATGCTTTGACAAGTTCACATTTCTCCATCCCAAACAAAACATCCTTATCTGTTAAAGTAATGTTAAGATTTTTTTGTTGAAAAAAAATGGACATATCTCTGCAGAATATTTTGGTATAATTAGAATCCCACAAAAGATTAATAAGCTTTTTTTTCATAATTTTTTCAAAAACTATACACATTGAGTCCAAATCCCATTTATATCTTTTTATCAAAAATGCTTTAACAGGATAAACATTATGAGTAATTTTATTATTTATTGAGTATCTTTAAGGAGCAACCAAGTCTACTAGTTTGGGTTCTTTAAAAAAAAAAAAATTTAAATATTTAATTTTGAATGAATTGTTTAAAGATGTGAAGTCAAGGGCTTAAATTCCTCCTTTTTCAATTTTATTCATCAGAATATTTTTTCTTGATGAGATGACATTTCTTTTTCCATATAAAGTTTATTTTATTAATGTTGGTACTGATCTGTTTGGGAAGATCAAGAGCAAGAGCCGGATAAATAAAAGAAAGATCTCGCTAGAGCCATAGATTAAATCTCTGTTCAGTTTGTTTCTATATATGGAGCGGTGCAGTTGGGCTGTGACGTCATCCCGTCGCTACTCTGCATCATTACGCACCGCAGGTTTTTCTCCCTCTGCGCTTCTAATCGAGCCGTCACATTCTTTGGGTTTCCGTCAGTTCGGACACACCTAGGCCAGCAAAGCAATGGTGGGTCTTTTTTGTTACACTTGGCTTTTTGACTGTACCGGACTCGTGCTTGTAAATAGAGAAATTAAATTAAACAGTGTTTAGCTTCGCAGCGCGGTTAACGGTGAAGTTTGAGACGCGAATTGTAAGCCTCTCCTAAGCGGAAGTACAACTTTTGTTGAGCTAGCTTTAGCTATGTTAACAATTATCTCATTTTATTACTTAACCACCTTTATCTGCGACTCCTACCATTTTCTATTGTCAGAGAAAGGCGTTTTGAATTGCAGCACACGTTGAATATTTCCTGTAACCAGAACAACTTAAACCGTTTTCTCTCGCCTATTTTCTTCCTGAACAGTCTGACTTCTCTGAAGATCAAATCCTTGGTAAGTACTTATACTCGTGTGTGTGTGTATATTTGTCTGTGGGGACATTTCCATTTTTCTCCGACTCGTTTTGGCGCTTTATTCCTGGACTCCTGCATCATTGCTGCCAGTCTGCTCTGTATCCGCCTGCTGCAGCAATCTAGGCTTTAGGTTTTTCTCTCTCTGTATACCAACTATTTCATCACTCTTTTCCCCCTTGCAACTGCTTGTCGTTTCCAGATTGAGTTTAACCTGGATCAGATTCATGGTAAGTGGTTGAAGAGCCTCCGCCTTGCTCAAAATGCAGTGGCTGTTCAGAGTTTTTAGGGTGTAAGCTGCATGACATCTAAAGGTGTTCTGCATTGTTGTCCAGCTTCTAAAGAATGAACAGACTGTTGGAGTCCTTACAGCAATAACATGTGTTGTACTGGTTTGATGTATTTGTTTTGTATTGTTAAATGCAAACATAGACTCTCATCTATTAGTCTTAATTTCTTCATTCGCCATTAACTTTGTTTTGGCTGAAATGCTTTAAGTTGCTCATCTCCAGTGTGTCCATGTTTGGTGTGAGATAAAAGCAATAGCTGGTTCTTGTCCCGACACTGGTTTGTTTAATCTCCCTTGACATAGTAGGCCATAGCTACACTCACTCCACCTCCTTTGCTCCACTCCTCTAATACCAAATATGGTGCTGGGAATTGTGCTAACAGGCCAGAAGGAAAGAGATGCATTCCTGAGAACAGGAAAAGAATTCCATAACAGTCCCACTGCTCTTTTGGTGAATATTTTGCTTTTTAACTTTAGGAACTCTCTCCTCTGAGGATATTGTGCAATTAGACCGTGTGTTTTCTTGATTGCTGATGTGAATAATCCTTGTTATCACTTTTATCAAGAACTACAGATGTTAGAGCAGAGCAGTTCAGTTGTAAAACACAAACCACCAACTCCCAGTAAATGCATAATCTAAAGGCTTTAGAAAACCTGTTTAAAAAGTTATTAACAATTCTATGGGGTTTTAAAATATTGATATTCAAAGTTACATAGTAGTTTTGGGTCAGTTTTTAATAGTTCCTTTTATTGCCAACTTACCTGTTTGTATGTGTTTATACAGAATTATATTTCTAAATCTTTACATTTAACCTAAGATACAAATCTGAAAGTATTCACATTGCTTTATCATTTTCATAGTATGTTACGGCTACGTACTCTGTGTTTTTCTTTATCGGCAGTTATTTTCAAGGCCAAACCAAGAAAATTAGGGACTTGTTAGAAACCAGTACAGTTTTTAAACATTGTCATGCATTTATGTCCTGCTATTTTACTTGGTGACATTGGAACCAAATGCCTTCAGAAGTAACCTAACTGGTAAAATTATCAACCCTGTCATTTCATCTCGCATAAAGACAGCTGTTCTGTTTAGAACATTGGTGAACATACGTCAAATTAAGCCTTGAATATAACATTGTTCAATCCGCCATCCTGAAATCAAAAAAGAAGCAACAGAGCTATAAACCTACAGAGATGTTGCTTTTCACCTACAAAAAAACAGGATGGTCAGATGATCTTGAGTTAGTGAGGGAACTCGGGAGGAGCTGCAGAGATCCACAGCTAGGGTTAGTCACGTTGAATCATTTTCAAACTTTAAATCCTCCTGAAGTCGATCAATTTTTATTTTCAATTCCTAGTTTTGTTGCCCAGTCTGCCGACCAGGAATAGAAGCTGTCTAGCGAAGAAGAATCTGCAGCAGTTTGTTTGCAAGAGAGGGCGATGCCTTTTTTAATACTTTTTTTCCTCTTTACAGCTTAACAGATACCCGCCTTTCTTCCTATGCATTCTGGATAGAAAGACAAGCACTTTAATGTACACTTATCCAGTTTTTTCCAATCAATTCGATACCTGGGCTGAGCGTATTCGTGTTTGATACAGATGTGATTCCACTGTTGAATGAACTACATATCTTGCCGTGTGAGCGGAGGTTTTAGCCTTGACATAAACACTTAAAAAATAGGGTAACAAATTAACACCAATATAAATGTACTTTAGATTATTTATTAACAAGCAGTAACATGTAAAGTGCACTGGATTGGCTCTCTGATATCCAATATCAAACTGACGATGGGAATAATTTTAAACACGACTTAATTCATTGTTTATATTCATTTAGAATCTGGTTACGACTACAAACAGACTAACTGAAAGACAAAGTTTAAAACATCTTTCCTCCGTCTACACCAGTAAAACAAATTCCTACATGTGTGGTTGAGTGTATTCAGGGTGCATTAAACAATGCTGAGGATATACATAGTGAATCTCAGAGTATCACACAGCTGAGCTTTCTCCTTCATTTCCAACACTCAGCCTAACATGGCACTAGAGTCAGAATTGAGTAAATAAAATGGTCTTAAACGGCATACTACCTTGGTTGTATATAAATGGAAAAAGGAAGCTCATGTGAAACTGTTACTGTAAAAGATAATTATATTACAGTTCAAAGTTTCAATATTTATTTACTGATTGAAAATAATATAATAATTTATAGTAACGTTTACACAAAGAAGTTCAATGATTTAAATGTTATAGAGAAGTTCATATCATTTCATCCAGACATAAGTCTGGTTAACATACTCATGTATAACATGTAAACTTAGGATTCTCCTTTTTAAAAGAATCGTAATTGATAACTAGAATCAAAACAAGGTATCAAAATCAGAAATGGAATCGTTCAAAACTGGAATCAAATTCAAATGGCCAACCCTATGCACACAATCTGTTGTCTCTGCATCTATAGTAGTTACTCTTCAAATGTGTCCTTTTCTGGAAGGTTGTCAAAGGGAAACGGGTGATGTTGAACAGTCATGGAAGAAAGCATGTAAGACGCTGCTAAGACTTGAGTCTGGGCCAGACGTTCAATTGAGCATGCAGCCTGAGCTACAATGGAATTTGTTCGACCAAAGGTTATGTGTTTAAGATGGCCAAGACTTGAATCCAAATGAGAATTTATAACAAGACTTAACAATATGACCAAGCTTGAGCTCTTTTGCTGAATAAATTGACAAAGATGTTATAAAGTGGTGGAGATATAACACAAAATATGTTCACCTTTTAACTGGAGGAGAAAACGGTTTCTACAGGTAGTACCGCCATGAGAGGGGTTAATGTAAACCGAGGCCATACTCTTTTAAAACCCGCTACATAACTGCACTACTTTGTGTTTAAGTTTGTAGCTGTATCGCAACTAAATGCATTTGAAGGAATTTAAGTACTTCTGTATGGCCCACTCAGGTACAAGTTTGGAAAAATCTTAGCTTTTAGATAATTGTTGATAAGCATGTTGGATTCATTTGTTAATCTATTGAGGCCTGCATATTTAAAAGATGGAGAAGCATCCTAACAATAAAGCCGAGCTTGTGAATGCTTGTGTGTAATGAGTGACTATATTACTAGTAGAAGTATTATGAATTGAGGAAGCTAAAGCTAGTTTGTGGTGTCACCAGGCTGAGCTCAGAGAACAGGATGTTTGTTCGTCGATCATTTGTTATAACTACTGCAGATGCAAATATGAAGATGAATTACAATGATTTTGGATTTAACCCAACATTTTTGAAGTCTGCTTGTTTCCTCTCTTTTTTTATTTTTTTATTGGCCTTTTCTTGATTATTGTCCACATTCTCTCTGTATCACCTTTCAATGAGCATCTCCTAGTTTATTATGTTGATCTATCCCTAACTGGTCTCATGTTTGCATGTTTTGCAGAATTTAAGGAGGCCTTCCTCCTGTTTGACAGGACAGGAGATGGGAAGATCAGCTACAGCCAGTGCGGGGATGTGATGCGGGCCCTGGGACAGAACCCTGTAAATGCTGAGGTGCTAAAAGTACTGGGCAACCCCAAATCTGAGGGTAAGAAACAAACCACAAACGTGGATTTACAGGGATATGAACCCGTTTCCCTTTTGTTTGGGGTACTTATGTTTCTTGCTGCAGACTTGGTTTGAAAAGGAGAGTTTGTTATTAACTCACATTGGGGTTGCATTAAAATGCTGCTTTGCACCAACTATGATATTTTACGTGGAAAAAAAGGGTAATCTGTCCCATGTGTGAGAAAATGGTTTTACAGTATAATGCAGTTTTATTTTGTTTGTCTGATCACATTAGGCCATATATCTCCATTTGTTTTCTAGGCAGCGGTTCGTGAAATTCTAATGCCCTATAACAGTTTATTTTTTCAAAATAAAAGATCAATCTCATTCCTATTCAGCTATTTGGTAGAGAAGCTTGAAAAAGGGGATGTTGGACAATGGAAGGGCCTTGCTTGATCACAAATTTCACACCTAAAAATTTCATAAAGGTCAACAAATGACAGGATATAAGCTGCACAAGGAAAGTCAGATAAAGCTGTAATCTATCTTAACCTTTTTTATTTGAACAAGAAAACCTTTCTGTTAAACTTAATTTAATCTTTTTAGGGGGAATCAAGATTTTCCCCTTTTGGCTACTTCTCATTTCCCTTTTAAAGTTCTGATTTTTTTTTCTTCTTTTTGCAATTTCTTTTAAGTGGTCTTCATCATTATTTAACCCCCCTTTTTTTTTTGCAATTACAATGTTTAATTGTAAATAAATAGTAATTATTAACATCCAGCTACTGGCCCAGTTTGGAAGGCAATGAGTGCCAAAACTTAATACATAAATACCTAATGAAATAAGGATTCCAATATGTCATTAATTTATGATAAAACAATGTTGACTTTAGATTAAAAGAAAACCAGGACGAAGTTGGTCATGTCTCACTCAATGAGAAACAGCCAATCAGACATCAGGGTTTCTATGAAAGCTGCCCTAATCCCACCCCTTTCACTTTCAGTACATGAGCATTAAATTATTTATCAAATCATGAAATAATTCATTTTATATTAAAAAAATATATATTTAACTATAGCCTGTATAATTAATTATATATTATATAAATTATAGATAAATATAAATTCTATGTTAATTTGTAGTTTTAATGAATTACTGACTAATTTAAATGATTATATTTATGTTAGTTTAATGCGGCACTCCTCATCATAGCCTAAAATGTATAATTTATTAGCTTTTTCTTATTTTGCAGAGATGAATACCAAGATGCTGGACTTTGAGCAGTTCCTGCCAATGTTCCAGGCCATCGCCAAAAACAAAGATCAGGGGTCCATGGAGGATTTCGTGGAAGGACTTCGTGTCTTTGACAAGGAGGGCAACGGCACAGTAATGGGAGCTGAACTACGTCATGTGCTCACCACGCTAGGCAAGCCGTTTTGATTTTTAAAATGTATATGAGAGAGAGAGATGCCTGATAAGAGCTTTAACAGTTAAATTTATGTTTTCTCAATGTTTGTCCGTTTGTATTTTTTGTTTGTTTTTTTAGGTGAGAAAATGTCAGAGGAAGAAGTTGAGACACTGTTGGCTGGGCATGAAGATGCAAATGGTTGCATCAATTATGAAGGTGAGAACAAAACAAAAGAAATGTGAAAAGTGTTTATGAAGAATCTAAGGAGGAACTGTTACTTTTAATCTAGACGTCTAATGAGGATATTCAAATGTCTTTGATGCACATTGATGCTTTGGTAAAGTGTTTATTTTAAACTTCAAAACCTGTGGTTATCAATTTAAGAGAAAGATTAATAAACTGAATAACTAGAAGTCCTTCTATTATTAAAGTCATTCCATATTTCCTCTGATCCACAGGGAACACTTATGTAATTGTATGATTGAGAGCTGTGATGTACAAGTCATTTGGCCAGTGTTCAAACCTGTTTTCTTCCTTTTCTCTAAATACATCAAAGCCAAAGACTCTTTAAATAACTGTTTGCATTTTTCTCAGATTTACATCTTCATATTTGTTACTTTTTTTTACTTTTCTAATTAGCATTTGTTCAAATTGTTTTTATTTACAAATTAGTGTATTGCCAAAGAAATTGCAGTCAAAGTGTGATCAGTGCATCAGGTAAACGGGCAGCTGGTTTCCATAGAAGCCTGATCAGCACGTTACATACATTATATAAATGATCAGAGGGAAGAGAAAACTCAGGTTTTGATATCTTTATCTTTTGATAATCTTTTTATTGAATATCCTAGATAATAAAGTGGATCAAAGGAAATTTAAATAAATGTTTCTTTTTTTTTGCTGTAAACAAGCAGTATATAAAACTGCATTTCTGGTGGATGCATTTCAATTATTTGTTTTTTGTTTTTTTAATCAGTCTCTTCAAGAAGCTATCATTCTAAGTTGATTTCTGACAATCTGTTACATGTTCTTCGTTCACAGCATTTGTTCGTCACATCATGTCAGGCTGAGGGCCGGTACGGGCATTGTCTAAATCAGGGGAGGACACCGCCAGGCTCTCCTGCCCCTTAGTTTTAAACAATCCTTTCACCCCAGCTTATTCAAACACTGATGCTGTTATAGTTGAAATGTTCATCTTGGCAAAAATAAATTGTCTGTTTTGGATTAAACATGACCTGTAGGGTGCATGAGAAAGCCTGGTAGTCTCCCTCCCCTGCAGACGTGAGGCTGTAAACCATATGTAGCCTCCTGCCGCTCTGTTTTACTCCTGCAGCCCTCTGGCTTGGCCCCTTGGCTGCAGCAGTCTGCATGAGTCTCTGCATGTATCTATGGCTCCTCCACAGGTTGTATGGAGATATGGTGGACAGAATGGGAAGAGACTGGTCTCTTTTAGTGGAAGCCTGGTGGTCAGTTTTGAGTGTGGTGTTTTTAGATTTTATTTGCATGTTGGCGGGGCTTTTTTTAAGTTGGTCTTTTCCTTCAATGGTTTTAAAGGTGTCTAGATGCTGTCATTGTACAATATATGTACAGTATTGCCACCAGATGCAGGAGTGGACCAGTCCCTTTTTCTACTAACCAAATAATGTTATAGAGTTGCTCTTATGCTGACTGTTCTCTTTGTACTGATGGAAACTTATTTTTTAAGCTGGCTGCTCTGACTTGACTGTAGCTACCCTGATCTCCTCCCCTTTTCTGTGCTTCTCAGCTAGAGGAAGGCAAACGTTGAGGACAGCTACTCTAACCAACCTTCTGTGGATCTTAGAGGACCGATAGCTTTGGCTGAATAAAAGATTATAATGACCCCCTTTTTCCTTTCTGCCTTCTTCAATTGACCCATTTTTCCTGGCTCTAGAGGAGAATATGGAAGATCTGCCTCCAAATGCAGCATCTTAGATTAAAGCAGGTCTTGGCCCAGCATGCTGTAATTGGAGCAGATCTTCACATTTTTTGTGAAAAAATTAATTTTTCTTCATTTTTCTTTCAGAACTGGTCCGGATGGTTATGAATGGATGAAGATGAACAGCGTCACTTTTCTTTTTCTTTTTTCATCAGAATCACATTCCTATATATTTCCATATAGCTTTGTCAGTTCACCCCAACGATTTCCATAAGTTTCTTTTAAGAAGTGCCTTTACATTCCCTAGCAAAGACCATAAAGCCCAATTTTTAGTCCTGTTTATTTGTATCCATTGAGAAATATTTGAGCTTGCATAGTTTATAACAACTCCAAATGAACTGTAACAATATCACTTAAACGGGACAATACAATAATATATCGTGCATATATGTGTTTCTAAGACTTGCTATGACTGAAATGTCCTGGTTTTATCAAAAGAAATATCAAAGGCTATAGTTGAAAACATTTCAAAGAAGCTCTCATTTTTCGAATTTGGCTTAGGATTTGCTGCTGCATTTGAATAAATGTTTTCCTGAAATGCTGTCTTGGTGGATTATTTTTTAAACTGGATTAATATAAGTTACACAGTGGCCACTTTAAAAGATAAACCTGTTTGTGTGGTAAATTGCAAATAAAAAGACATCAGCCCATCTTATGGGGGAAATTTCACACAATTTTTCCAGAAGTGTCAAAAGTTATGGCTGAAATGGAAAAGGCACTGGAATTGGGTCAAAAGGGGGAGAGTAAGTAAGTGACTTTCTTGCATTGTGATTTTTCTAGATATATGTCTGCAGTTTTATGGATAACGTGCCCTATAATGTTGGGACTAATATACAGACCGGTTTAAAATTGTAGAAAAGCAACAGTAGCTTAAATAACTACTTATGAATAGCAAAGAATGAGGAGTAACCCCTTTGGTCAAACAGCCTGTAGCAGCACAAACGAGAAACTCCTGTAAACTAAGAACAAGAAAACTATGGATTACCAAATTTGGGGGAAAAAATTTAAGTTGGGAACAAATATGCTCAAGTCTTATGGGATGATTTCAGCTCCAACTTTAGCTTGGAGCATCAAAATGTTGGTTTAATTATGGATCCATCCAGGTTGGTATCCAAGACGGATGGTATGATTTAGGAAAATATTTTCTTTCACCACCACTAATTATTTCTAATAACAAACATCCTACAACCTGAGAGGATAAACTGAAAATCCCTTTATGACCAAAGTGTCTTCTGTAGCTCGGTTCCTCCAGAAAAAGGCTGTCACTAATCTTGAACATGAATTCACTGATGGGCTGTGCAGTTTGTCGCACTGCCTTGCAGCAACAAAGTCCTGGGTTGGATTCCTAGTCTACCGTTTTTCTATATGCACATTCTCCCTGTGTGAGCATGGGTTCCCTGCTGGTACCCTGGTTTCTCCCACTGTCCAAACACCTGACTGTTAGATTAACTGGTGTCTGTAAATTGTCAGTAGGTGTAATTGTGTATGTGGTTGTATGTCTTTGTGTTGCCTTGCAACAGACTGGCGTCTTATTCAGGGTGGAACCGATCTTTCGCCTACAGACTGCTGGAGATGGGCACCAGCTCCACCGTGACACTGATGGAAAAAGCAGGAGAAGATGGGAGTTCAGTGACCTCCAATTGTACCCAGGGTCACCACATCTCAATCCAATATGGATTAAAATTGTGTCGATGCCAATGCAAAATATTATGCATTTCAGAAGGTAGAAGAGAGTCCAATCTGGAGAAATCCCATCCATTGTAAAACTATTTGAAAGAAATGCATTTTTTTTATTGAACACTGGGAGGCAGTGTTGCTGTTAAAGCATGGCCAATTATAAACTAATAGTGTCAATGGTCTCTATCCTCATTTGGCATTGTTGAGCTAGACAAAAAATAAACGTCACACGTGGACATTGTTGTCTAATGTTATGTTTTTACATTAAATCTTACAACTATTTACTAACACTTTGCATTTTTGAGAAGGAAAAAAAGTCTTTACCTTAATATGCTGTTCAGTACTTTCATGACCTTTTTCTGCATTTCCTTCTTAAGCAGTCAACTATTCCCCCTCATTAGGCACCACAGGTAACAGATAGTGATCCCTATGTGTGTGTGAGGGGTTTAAGGTTCAGGAGGATGTCATAGTCCACCACTGAATAGGCTCTCTACTAATTACTCTTTGTGTATGTGTGTGTGGTCGATAGAAGTCAAGGCTATTGATTATTTTAATCCTCCTATTTGTGAGTCTGTGATCTTCATGGCTCTGCATTCGACAGGGGAATCACTAATGGGCCTCGGCACAGCCCGTCTCAGACCTCTCCCCGTCCAATTAACTTTCAACTGGAATCTGCTGGGAGAGAAAGACGTGGGCTGGGCCCAGACACACTGCGCCTTCAGCCCTCTTTTTTTTCCCTCCTGCTCAGAAGCAACAGATTCTCCAAATCCTTCACTTCAGGAATGACACCAACTCTGCTCTAATTAGATACTTTTTCAGAAGAATTTCCTTTATCATGAACTGGATATTTGAGGGGTTTTTTTTAGGTTTAAAAAAGATGAAGTGGCTCCATTGGCTTATAAGCATACAGATGAATCTCTGAAATGTTTTGGATTTTGTATTTAGGGTTCATATTTTTTCATTGCAGCAGTATGTGGTAAAATGATCACAAGGGATTTGTGCATTTCAAGTTTAAAGTTTATAAGATACATTCTTTTATACGCCTTTTTATTCTGCAGCAGGGCTAAAAATTGTTTTCTAAAATGTATCTACAGGGATTTAGTCTCTCAGTGAAAACCTGTTTTTTTTGTTTGCAATAAAACAGTGAGACAAATCAGACACAAGATCTACAAAGTCTAAACAGAATTATCAATAAACAAAAATCTTTGAAGACATATAGCACAAGTTTCTGGGTTTTATTTTTGCTTTTTTGTTTACTATATTTCTGATTGATTTCCAGATTTATTGCTTTAACGCTGTAACATAGATCTCTGTCGTGTTACTTTAAAACGTATCAAATGTCTGGGCCTTGTTGATCCAGGGTGCCTGATAAGCTGAGGCCTATAAAGCAGGAGTGATATTTGGGTCTTATATTGAAAATCCATTTTGCAACAGGCAGAGGCTGCTTCAGCTTCGATCTTTGCTCTGGGTTCATACAACCATGCCAACTGACACAACTAAGTCAGAGTGGTCACCTTAAATAAAACTGAGCATGATGTTAGTAGAGTTGTGCGGCCATGGTGAATATGCATATCTGTATTCTACGCTGGCTTTCACTGGGTCCAAAATAACACTCAAAGACACAGACAAAGTTGGTCAGATGTTTTAATTGCAATTGGTCACTCAACCTCTTTAATAACCCAGACTGTTCATCCCAAAGTTGTTTTGTTCCCATGTAATGAACGGAAAACAGTCACTGGGGTTTTAGGTTATAGTAAAATTAATGTAATGTCTTATACACCATTTAAAACACAAAATCTGTGACTTTTATTCACTCATACATTCTTGCCCATTTTCTCTGTAATGAATTTCAAAAAATACATGTACACGCAGATTTCAAGTGTAAAATACATTGTGATATGTTTCTCCAACATGTGTTCATTTACCATACCCTCTAAAGGATTTAGCACTCAAAATAAAAATGAAGATATAGTTGAAACCAAATGTTTATATACACTTAACAGACATTTGTTTTGTCAATATCAAACATTAAATCAGACTAAGCTTTCCCTATTTTAGCTCAGATAGGATTAATACATTTATTTTGATGTGATAAATACCTGAATACTTAATGAGATTATATGATTTTTACTATTTTTGCTCACACACATCAGCTTTGCCAACAGATTTTCTGTGGGATTGAAATCAGGGCTTTGTGATGACCACCCAGTTAACTTTGTTGTCTTTGGAGTTATTGTCTACCTGGAAGACCTATTTCTGCTAACACCTTAATTTCTAAGCCAATTATTTTACATGCTTCTTTAATAATTTTGCATAGTGTTTCCTTACGATGTTATCTTTTATGGTGAAATGCCTAGGAGTTGTAAGTTCCCTGTAGTAACACAACATGATGCTGCCACTCCTGTACTTTTCAGTTCGTCTGGTGTTCTAACAAAATGATCAAACCAAAATAAAACAACATAACATCAGGCCTCCGATTTGAACCAAATGATTAAGGTTTATATACCGGTATATGCAAAATTAATTTTCTTTATACTTCTATTAGAGTAATGGCTTTTTTTAAGGGTCTTTTTGTTGAAATAGATAATAGACTGATTTCACTCTGTATAATGACACCATCTTCCTAGCCTCAGCCGACATCCTTACAAAGTCTTATTCTGCGGTTTAGGAACTGTTTATTTGCACATTTACTTCAAAACACAATTATCTCTTGGAAAACTGGGCAAACAGTATGTTTGCTGGATATTTAACACATAGCTGTGGGGGTGCAATTAACGATTATTTTGCAAATCGATTAATCTCTCAATGATTTTTTAGATTAATAATCGGATAGCAAAAGATTCCTTAAGTGAAAATAAAGCTTTTCCACTTGAGGAGCAAAGAACAGAGCATACTGACAGACAAAAAACATTTTTTATCTTAATGCTGCTCTAGGCGGGTCAGCTAAAGACTTATTTTTGAGTCTCTTTACTCCATTTAACAATTAATCGATTACTAAATTAGCTGACGCTTAATTCCAATAATTGATTAATCATGATTAATCTGATTAATTGTTTCAGCTCTAGCTATCTAGCAGAATAATGTTGCACCTTCAGGCATCTTAAGATTTTAGAAACTCAAAAGGAACGTTTTTCGAAATAAGTGAGTCGAGTCTTTTACTTATAACTAATTCATTATTAAATGATTTTGTGCCTTTTGCTGGATGTGTTTCAATCATGCGTTAAAATGAGCAACATCTACACAGGCTACAATATATGGCATATGAAATGTGTATACAGGTCACTATAAAAAAAACAAAAAAAAAACAGTAGTAAATACTTAAGGATGAACCAGACATGGGGCCTGAATTTTTCTATTATGTAAAAATGAAGGAGGGTGTTACCCCCTCCATTCAACTCCAATGTTTGGAATTTATCTGTCAGAGGCTTATGAAGTCATGATATCATCATTTGACTTTTCAAAAACCGCTTAAATGCATAATAATTTTAGTATATATGAAGCTAAATACTGTTACCCAGTTATTCTGGCCTTTAGTAAGAAAACATAGTTTTGATTATTGTAACTGAGCAAAAACGATAAAAAGAAAAAGCTTATTCTGATTTAAAGTCAGACACTGAGAAAAATAGGTTTTAGTGTATTTTTATAAACTGCAGCAAATATAGAGATTTGCTTTCAGCTATATAGCAACTATATGCATTGACAAAATTTCAAACTGAAAACTTTGCTGCTGGCGAGATCTCTTGAATGGCCTGTTTCCTTGTCTGCATTCTGTCTTATTTAACCTTCAGGTGAACAGGAATTTGTGGATTACTAATAACGGGCCGTTGCAATTTAAAAAACATAAAAGTACATTAAAAAAATAGACACATTTAATTAATAGATATCAATTATTTGTTCCACTAATTAAATGTACTCACATTTATGGTTGGGTTTGTTGTGCATTTTTTTCAGTATGAAAGTAGTGCTTCTGCAATATATATTGTTATACTCTGAAGCTTTTTGCATCTTTAACAGCAGCTCAAGCAAATGTAAAAAAAAAACACTGTATGTTGCAACATGTATGACAATGAAGACAAGGAGGAAAAATCTTTTTTTTTTTAATCAGTTCTATGCCTTATCTCAGATCAAATATCATCTAAACTGTTGTGTAAATATTCTTCTGTGTGTACTCCAAAGGAGCTGCAAAGATTATTGGAATGGAAATTACATACTGAAAGACAATATTTCAACATAAACAATAAACATGATTTTGCCTCAATTTCCTCTCCATAACACCATTACAGAATGTTAATTATCCAACCTATGGTGTTTGTTTTACCTGTGTTCTTACCATGTCAGTTATTATAGATTACAATGTAATACTTAAGATATTTCTGAGCCTTGGTGTTAAATAGTTTATTTAAGCTGTACCATATAGTATCCTGATATTTCTATTTGCACAATAAGGTTCATATAAATACTGTTGCTGCTGATGATTGGCTCGGTATCTTACACTTTAATTTAATTCTTACTTTAATTCAATGCAATCCATCGTAATGCCATCAGATGTTTATGTAGGTGTGTGCACATGTGATTACATGCATGCATGTATGTGTGTGGATTTTGTCTTATGTGCATTTATTTGCATCCATAATGTAGATGTGTGTCAACCCTTGTCCGTTGCTTCCTTTCCTTTCTCCTCTCTGGCTGTTAATTTAGCTTCAGTCCGGGTAGATAAGGAATCCAGAGAAAGTGCTGTACTTATTTTGATTTCCTCCGTGGACTTTTCCGCCATCCAGCTGCACGCAAATCTCATCACCGACGTCCAGATGCAGGATCACGCTGTTGGATGCGTAGTCGTAGTTCTGATCAGCATCTTGTGCAATGGCGCTTGCTCTTACCTGGTAAAGGACATGCACACTGGCAGTTAGAGCAAAATAACCAACTGTAGCTCTTTTAACACAAGGGTTACTTCACCTATTTCATTTTGAACTGACTTACAACCAGTTACTGCAACCATTAAATGAAAGGCAGAAGTTGTCTAACATCACTTACATTGCTGACAACTGAATGGATTGATTGTACTTTGACCAGCGACCCACAAATCCTGAATTGTGTATTGATTGAATTTGGGTAGGATAAGACCTGTGGATAGACATGTGATTGGCTTTTGACATACTGTTGCTCACTGACGGACAACAGGTTGTCTTTTGGGAAACAAGCCAATAAACAGCATCACTAACACATCAATTATTGACCTGTTGCTTATGATGCTGGACCAGTTCGATGTGCACGATATTGAATGTGGTGGACAGTTTCTCATTTGCATGCTCTGCAAAGGATGGGTCTTATTGACCATGTAGCAGTGGAACTTTGCTTGTTTGTTAACACATTTAATTGGGTTCACTCAGTGTGGACACACATAACTTGAATTTAATTTCTGTTTAGCAAGAAAAATATTTTAAACATGTTATTTAATCTTTATTCATTAAAGAAGCTAGTCCAACATCTTTGCTCTGTCATATTTTTAAATGCATGAAAATAATGTGCAGCTCTTAAAATATAGATACCCCAGCAATAATTATGCTTAGTTTATTTGCCAAACTTAAATATTTTAGCTCTTCAAAACAATTATTATATCAGACAAGGAGAACTCAAGTAAATGCAAAAGTATTTTCAAAGGAAAAGGTAAACAGTATGGTGGCTGAAGGGTGCTAACACGATGCAAACACATATTTCATTATAATGCAAATAAAAAATTATACAAAAATTAGATCAATACACAGAAAAACATGCAAGGGAAAATGCCGCAATGGAGACTTGTTGCAGTCACAGAAAATAGAGAGCAGCAAATGGTAAGCATGCAGCAAACACAAAACCTGCTGCAGACACACACAAAGTAACACACAGAATACAGGAAAAGAGAAAATGCTCTAAGTAGCAGTGGAAACTGTAAGTTAAAAAGAGCCACATACTAGCTCTATATAAGGGAAGTGCTCCAGAGCACTAGAAGGAAACAATCAACAACTCATATGGGACCTTAGCAAAAATATAAACAAGAACTCAACAAAGAGAACCTTTCACGAATCAACAGTAGGAAAGAGGCTGGTTTATAATGACATCTGTGTGTGAGTTTCAAAGCCAAAACTACCCACAATTTCCCAATTGTGGGAAAATAAAGGGATTTTCTATTCTATTCTAAAAAGAACACAAAGTCACATTCCTATCGTCAGACATACAGCTTTATAATAAAAGTATTTAAAAATAAAATTCTGTGACTATGCATTCAAATATTTGTCCTAAGTACACTAGAAAGTAATTTTCTAAATGTCTGAAGTGACAAATAAAAATCCCCAAATGAATGTATTGGTTTGGACTCATCCAAGTCTGGGCTGAAACAGGATGATGTGACTAGTTAAAAAAAAAAAAAAAACAGTAAAGCACACAATCTTAAATTAGAATAAAAAAAGCATTCCAAGAAAAAGAATAATATAAAAATCATTTTTCCATTCCTACTAAATTGGATCAAATTACAGCCTGTACTGGATACCTTCATCAGGACAAATGACCTTGATGCAAAACCATCTACAGTAATCATATATCTTTCAAGCAGACAGTTGTGATATAATTATAAATCTTCACTGTTTTAATAATTACTAGTGCATTTCTTTCGGCTTCTTTCAGTCAGATCTAAAGACTATTTGTTCTTTTATTCGTTTGTAACTTTTTGTGATATTTAAACATCAAATTTTACATGGACAGTTGTCTTACTAGTTTACCATACATACCTGACTCCTGCATAAGTAAAAGAAAATCTTGAGCTTTATACAATTTCAGCTACTTTTAATAAAGTAGGTAAAAAGTAGTAGTAGTAGTAGAGTAAAGTTACTTGCCTATATGTATATATATATATATACAGTACATAACAGCAGGGTGTAAAATGTAGGCAGGAAGTGCATACATGGAACGCCATAACCAGGTAGCTGTCATAGTGTAGAGGAATATCTGACATGAATATCGGCTGGAAGTCCCAAGGCCAAAATGGAAGACACCTCCTAAGGTAGTTGAGATTGACCGAGCTAAGATCCTATGGGACTTCAAGATCCAGACTGACAAACAGGTGAAGGCTAACCAACCAGACATCGCGCTGATCGACAAACAGCAGAAGAAGGCAGTAGTGATAGATGTGGCAATCCCAAGCGACAGCAACATCAAGAAGAAGGAACTTGAGAAGCTTGAGAAATACCAAGGGCTGAAAGAGGAGCTAGAAAAGATGTGGTAAGTAAGAGCAGCAGTGGTGGCAGTGGTAGTTGGAGCACTGGGGGCTGTGACCCCCAAACTGGGAGAGGGGCTACAGCAGATTCCAGGTAAAACATCAGAGGTCTCTGTCCAGAAGAATGCAGTCCTAGGAACAGCTAAGATACTGCACAGAACCCTCAAACTCCCAGGCCTCTGGTAGAGGACCCGAGCTTGAGGATGACACATACCACCCCACAAGGGGTGAGAAGATAATTTTTTTTAGTTATGATATATATATATATATATATATATATATATATATATATATATATATATATATATATATATATATATATATATATATATATATATATATATATATATATATATATATATATATATATATATATATATAAATATATATATATATATATATATATATATATATATATATATATATATATATATATATATATACAATGTAAGGTTTTACAGCATTCTTTAAAACTTAAAAAAGTTAAGTACAAATCTGTAAGTAAACAAAAAAAAAACATAAATTGCAAGTATTAATAATTGCGTTGTTGCTATCCCAATCATCAGACATATGACAGACATCAGTGGCCTTGTGTCTAGCTTTCTGGGCAGGGAGCACTCAATCTATGTCAGCAGCCCGACAAGCTACGCATATCTCCATGACAGCCACAGAATATGATCTGCAATTCAACTGCTACCATGTCACTCCCATCACTCGGACCCCATCCTAACGAGTACATATCAATTTGAAACTAGTCATTCACGGAGCAGCACAGCCTCCATTACTTAAACTAAAAATATATACATGCTCTTTTAACCACTGCAACAATTCATTTTGCTCCTATCTGGACATTTATCAATTGTGATGTTATGCTTTATTGGTTAAACACAATCTGACATCATCATGAAATAAGATATGGGCTCTGGATGCCTCGTTCAACAAACAGCATGACAGGTCTGCCATCCATAATGAACCAGAACAAAGGAGAAATCCCTGACATCACATATTAAGAAGTAAACAGCATTCCTGGTTTGTATATATGTCCACATTTATCTTACATATGTCTACTCTAGTATTCTGTGTTTTATTTGGAAATATACTACATCTAAATTGGAATCCATTTATTTTTGAAGAATCAATGTTTTATTATGTATACATTGAAATCCAAATATTTAGATTAATAGGTTAATATTTAGTCTTAAACATTGCCAGGTAACTTAGCGGGCTGTACGTGGTTCCAAATGTACTTTGACTCTATTTCATATATATATAAACACATATATATATATATATATATATATATATATATATATATATATATATATATATATATATATTTAATTTTTCTATAAGCTTAATCCAGTCCAGAAGACTGTTTTGGTGCTGACAACTGAAAAGAAAAGAGATGCCTGTATTTTAGGCTAACATATGAATATGAATGTGATATCACATCTAAAGAGATATATTATAATTTTTAAATAAAACTCTTGAATAGCGTCCAATACATTTTTCCAGGACATTACAACTTTTCCTATGCTCTTTTGTACTACTGTATATACACTCTTATTATATTTTGATCTTTAATGGTATCTTGTTTTAACTCTGCCCTTTGTACTCTATATAAGCTACTAGAACCAGAATTACCTTGAAGGAGTAATCCCAAGGGATAAATAAAGTTGAGTCTAAGTCTATAAAACAGCCCTTGGATTTAACACCAAATTATAGGCTGTGAATCAAATGCCACATCAAAAATCATTAACCACCTCTTAGCAATAAAGTTAATTCAACTGGTAAACCATATACCCTAAAATGCAGCTTAAAATTCCTAATCACCACATGCAAATACCTTCTAATAATATCAAAAAAGATGCAAATTGCAAAGTATTATTTTCTAACTTTGTGGGGCCTCTAGGACATGTTAGCATGGGTAGAAATCCATATTGACTGTATCACACACTGTCCATTAAGCAGTTGATGTGCTAACTCCTATACATAGTTGTCTTTTCTGTCTTCTTTTTGTAATAATCAAGTTTGTTTGGCCCTGGAGGCTGTATCTAACTGGTGACCTGAAAGGTTAAAGATTAAAGTAGAGCTCATTATGATAAAACATGTACAGTGAAATAATTATCATATAGGTTTCATGAATGGAAGTTTAGGTGTCTTTAAGTATTCGTTATATTTGTATTAAAACATGATTATTTACAAAGTATTTGGTGGTGTGTCCCCAATAAAATTCAAGAAGGAAACATCTATTGAAAAAAAAGCAATAATAGGGTTTTCAGTCAAAGTAAAGATTGTTTTGCAGCGTTGGGGTTCACTTAAATCACTTGAATATCTACCTTTTTTTATAACTTGATTTTTTTAATATTTGGCTTAAAAATCTTTATGCTTTTTTTGACATAATTCGCAGGATTCACTGTCTCTATATAAATAATAATTGCTTTAACTCTGTAATGTGTCCAATGCTGGTTTAAAGATTTGTGAAAGAGATTTTATACAAAACTAGAATGTTTTTTGAGGATAGAGTTGCTTTAAGACATTAAAGGTAATCTTTGATTGTGGTTCCTCCAAGATTAACCACAGTTTTTTCTGTCTTTTGCTGACCTGATCAGAATTTAACTTTAAATA